CATCTCTGCATCCTCCCTGGCTCTTCCTGCACACACAAAGCCTTGGGCTCATCCAGACTCCTCCTTTATGACATATTGCACCACAACACTGACCTTGGAGGGAAATTTCTTACTTCTTGTCACCAGTCTAGGCCACCCCAGCTGCCCTTGGTGGCACTAGTTCTTTCTTGTGCTGTCTTCTGCCATGAAGAAAAGCTCCACCAGCTCTGATACCCCCCTTCCAGACCTCTCAGGCTACTCCTCTACTGTCCTCAATCTTCACACCACTGACCCCTGAGTCCTTAGCCTCTATATACGGGTCATGTGATTGAGGCCCCAAATTCCTTCCTGGGAGATCTCTCTGACCTCTCCAAGGTTTTGGAAGATGACAATAAAGTGCTTTTATCCCAGAAAACACAGAGTGACACTTTTTTCCAAGTGTTGTCGTGGCAGAATGAGGCACAATATCTTTAAACTTTCTGGCACAAGGGAGCTCTGAGCTCTGGGTACGGAGGGAGGTCCAAGTGTCAACCACTGGAGTGGGAGCTACAAATCATCAAGTCTTGTGGTCTTTGGAGGGTCAGACACTGATGAGACTGCTCTGTGTGTGCACATGTAAGGACTTGAAGGGCACAATGAACTGTCTCAAAACACTGTCAAAGAAGGAAAAATCCCATAAAGCGCCACAAGACATAAGCACTGGTGGCAAACAGGAAGGCCTTTAATTCCAAGGCCTAAACAGAGTTGAAGCTTTGGAAGTAGCACTCAGGACACTATTGCACTGTGCAGACTGTGGGAAAGAGCAGACAGCCCCAACAGGAAGCCAGGGCTGGTAAGGCAGGTCTGGGGAACCCATCCAGACAAAGGTTCCCACCTGCAGACTGGAAGCACACTGGGCAAAACTGCTGCCGTGGCAAACTGTGGGAGAGGAAGCAAGTCCTTTTACAGGTGCCAGCCCAATCTGTGGGAACAGCACCTACCCCCCTGAACACCCGGGGCTTGAGCTGTATAAAAGTGATAGCCCAGAAGCACAACTTGGGGACCCACCACAGAGCAGAGCAAGATGAAGAAGGACCGGTGGGACACCTCAGGGATCTACATGGTGTGATATATTTACTTAATCTCTTTCTCTCACTGTCTCCCCATCACCCCCTTCTTCCCTTTCTCTCTTTCTATTTCTTTCTCTCTTTCTAGTTCGTATTTACTGTTAAATCAAACCTGGACTACTGACTTTGGCACATGGTCTCCTTTGCAGCTGAATTTGGGCAGAGGTGTCTTTTGATAATCGGAACCTGACAGTACCCATGAGGTTTTACAGTGTGGGAATGGCCACTGGATTCCATGAGGTTCCACAGAGTCGCAGGGTCCTTTGGCTTCATAAGGCTCTGTGGTGTGATAATGGACCCTTCATTCCATGAGTTTTCAAAATGTCTCAGGACTCCTTTGGTTCTAGGAGGCCCCACATATCACAGTGGATCCTTGGTTTCATGAGATTCCACAGTGTCCAGGAATCCTTTTGTTCCATGAGGCCTTGCAGTGTCACAATGGCCCCTTGATTCCATGAGGTTCCACAGTGCCAATATGGGTCCTTGATTTTTCGAGGTCCACAGTGTCCCGGGGTCCCTTTGTCTCCATGATGATCTGCAGTGTCACAGTGGCCTAATAATTCCATGTGGTTCCACATTGTCCCAGGGTTCTGTAGATTCCATGAGGCCCTGCAGTGTCACAGTGGCCTAATAATTCCATGTGGTTCCACATTGTCCCAGGGTTCTGTAGATTCCATGAGGCCCTGCAGTGTCACAGTGGCCTAATAATTCCATGTGGTTCCACATT